TTGAAAGTTCATGTGATTTTAGTTTATTTGTAGCTAGATTTAATAAAATGTACAAGTTAGACAAACGATATGTAATATAATATTTACTATGCGCAATACAAGATTAATATATTTTCAACTGAAAGTCCATGAGATTTTAGTTTATCAGTAGGTTAAGCTTACCAAAATGCACAACTCAATATTCAACACCAATAACTCAAAGGTCATTTTTACACAACAAATATTTCAATATTTTTGATAGTAGATTTCTTCATATTGAGTCATATTTTATTTAATTCACATGTAAAAGTTTAATATGAATAAGTCAACCATTGTTATTGTATAATAATTAATCTACTCTAAAACTTTCACAACTAACTTACATGGTTCAGCATCCCTTAACTCATATTAGCATTAAAATCACAAATAAAATTTAAATTTTAACAACATTACAGTGTAGTTTGTATAATAAAAAGTCCATTTCATATGTATTTTACTAGCTCATATAAAACCCTCATTAAATACTTCTATTAACTAAAATTACTACATATTAAATAAATCAAGACCACCTCTATCACTACTTCACTAGCAAGTAAGAATGATATCATTTAAATCATTGAGCTAAACTCTTTGTTCACCAAAATGTAATAACTACATTTACCATGTGCACACTAGAGACTTTCATAGCTCACTAAGTTCTATCATCCACCTCTCGGCTATTTCTTATTTTAGCATCAAAATGGTGGACAATACCTTTAATCAAAGCTCAATGAAAAAATTTAATTGAAGTACTATTTAAAATGGACGAATTTTAAAATTTATAGATCTCAAAAGTTACGTTTTATTGTCGAAGTTGAGAAACCTTTCACTCCTTCAAATGAGAAACCTTGTCGTCTTTGTCTTCGATCCCTTCACGTTCAGTTTGCTTCTTTGCTTTTCGTTAAGGGCAAAATAACACTTTTGATCCCAAAAAAATTGCAAAAAGACCCTGACTTTGCAGTGGAATATCAAAAATTTTTAGTTCCAAAGTATAATACTCTATATTTTCAGGGCCTTTCGTGCCACTCCTCTATATTCAATTTGAATTGTCTAAATTAAATTTAGACGGTCTAGATTTAATAATGGTCCAGTAAAGGGTGGGAGAGGGGCCGGGTTTCCGTAGGCTTGCCCTAGTCACTCGGTCGTTCCTCGAGCACCAGCTTCGCGGAGTCGCGAATCTGGCCGGCTGCAGTTACCGTTCCAGTCGCCGTCGCGAGGTGTTTAACAAGCCAAAGTGGATGCGTTTTTACCCACACCTCTTGGCTTCAGTTTCCGGACTCACTCGCTCATTCCAGAATCGTCGTTTTCGTCCTTGGCTGGTCGTCGCGTAGAAGAGGGCTCTTTCTGCTGCAATATCTATCGTTAAGATTCACGGTAGGACTCAGATCAAATCTTAAAGTCTGCTAGGTATCTCCACGAGCTTTGGCAGTTGCTTCTTGTTTTCTTGTATTGGTTTTTTTGAGTAGAGTCTTACTTCTGATGCTGTTAGTTTACATGGATCAGTACCAGAAGGTCAAGAAGCCCAGAGAGGAGACGCCATTTGATGAAAACGAGATTCGGATTACTAGTCAGGGAAAGATGCGTAACTATTTGCCTACGCCATGAGCCTGATTCGGGTATTTGATTTTTTGCCATTTTATATAGAATGTATGCAATGCCCTTAATGTTAAATGATGGAAGGAGCTGATGGAGAATAGCCATGTGCCTTGGCACGCTTTTGATATCGTTTTCACGTTTGCAGTAGTTGACACCTGGAAAAGACGTTGACCCTCACATTGTAGGAAGATTTCTAAAAGCTCAAAGATTATCCTTGCCATTGAACTGTTTTTTTTACTGTCATGTATATTGAAACCTGGATCAGACGCTTTTGCAAAGAGAGAAATGAACAACTCAATGGGGGAAAAAATAACAGAACTGGCTTTTTGACACATAGATGGTGGTATTTGGTGTGTTTGCATTTTGATTTCCCAAGTACTTGGATGTGGAGACTTAGTTGAGATTTTTGGGTGAAAAGTCTGTAGAAAATTAATGGTTCTAGCAATTGGCGGGCCGTACTTACAGTTGCCTTGGGGACGTTGTTTCCTCCATTTGCTCAAAGGACGATGAACTACTTATGTACCTCAAAGCATGTGTATTTTTATTTTTTGTCTTGTTTTTATTAAAAAATATATCAGGTTTTGTGTGAATGAAATGGTGTGCCACCAACGATGGGTGGTACAGATGAAACTCTGATGTTTCTGAAATCATCAGTTATCTTCCAATAATGTAATTATATATTTCTATTGATAAAAGTAATTGAATTATCAACATTGTTCAGTAATGAACTTTAATGATTATTACCTGTACTTGCATGCATGTATACATGCAATTGGTTCTTTGTGGATCAGAAATAAGAGGGAAAGATATACAGTGTGACTATAGGGGGATGAAATTTCTCTGGCAGCTCTGTTAAGTTTGATGCCAACTCTTGCTAAAACCCTTAAAATTAAGATCAGAAACCTGTGGTCTGACTGCATTCTCTATGTTTTTGAGATGGAATTATGGCGTTAGTTCCATTAACACAACTGACGCCATAATTCCTCCTTTCACACTTATCCAAAGCTCCATCTCGGTACAACTCACTTTGCATATTGAATTATGGCGTCAGTCCCAAACACAACTGACGCCATAATTTTTCCCTCCATACTCACCCACAGCTCAATCTCCCTCCACCACCCTCAGCTATCCTATGCTGGGGCGCGCACAAGCTCATGGCTCAATCTCCCTCCACCCTCAGCTTCCACACATTATTGTTCACACCTCGATTTCAATCTCCTTCAACAACACTTTAATTTCTTATTGAAATATGGTTTCGAAAAGAAAAGGATCTTTTATAAAAAAAGTTGTTTGCATAAATTAATATTATTTAAACCAGTAAAGAAATTTTTGAAAAGTTTATATTAAAAATGAATAAATATGTTTTAAAAATAAAGTAAGAAAATCTTAAAATAAATCATATGTATTATTAAAAAATATTTTTATAAATTATACTGCATTAAAATGATTTTTGAAAAGATTTTTTTATATAAATAAAATATATTATTAAAAATCAAAATTATATTTGAAATTACCCGATGCAATGTTACATTCCTTTCTCAGGCTTTAAGGTTAACTTTAATTAAGTCTGTTCTTTCTGCTTTCAACATCTATGACTCTATGTCATGTCCTATGTTAAGCTTTCAAAATCAGTCTGCAATGCTACTGATCCTGCCTGTGTTTATTTCTTTCGGGGAGAATCTGAGAATTACCAATTTAAGATGGAAAGTGGGTACCGGCTCCAATATTCCTCTTCTTTATCCTTTTAAGCACCAATCAAATTCTCCCTCACATAGTTCCTCTCCACTTCCATTTGAGTTGAGCTCTTTTTGAGTTCAGGGTCTTGTTATACAGCAGTCTTGGGGTTGGTCTTCAAATGTATGGAACGAACAACTCATCAATGCTCTTTATGATCAATGGGTTTCACAACTTATACTCAATACTCCACTTCCAGTCACTTTGCAAGAGGATAAAATTATCTTGTCTGGTTCCAACATGGGTGGATATACAGCTAGGAAAGGCTATGAAATTTTATCCTCTCAGGTTAGAACTCCTTCATTATTGTTGATTCTTCCTTTTTGGAAGTTCATTTGGAATTTGAAGCTTCCTTTAAAACACATCTTATTTGTGTGGAAATTTTTATATCTCTCTCTGCCAATTGGGGTCATTTTGAGAGAGCACTCTTATTTGTGTGGAAACTTTTATTAATTTATACCTTTCTCTGCCAATTGGTGACATTTTGAGAGAGCACAACCTCTAACAATAACTTTGTCCCTTTGGATTTCGATATGCTGAATCTATTGATCATGTTTTAGCTCATTGTGCACTTATCTATTCACTCTAGTTTGGTGATCTATCTATTCAAACATCTTCCTTCATGGAAGCAAGTTTGATTGATTGTCTCATTTCTGTGTTCAAGCAACCAAAAAGGATCAGAGAACTAATTTGATCCTCCATATTATTATCTTGCTTTGGAATTTGAGGAAGTTAGTTACTTATCATGTTTTAGCTCCAAACCCAGATGAAATTTTGAAGGAATACCAAAGCCAGTGCGATCTTCTAGATCATGTTTGTGACTGGTGTAAGGTTTATACAGTGAGTATGCCTTCATCATCACTTTCTCAATGTTCTTTTCTACCTGCTACAGGTTTGTGGTTAAGATGGATGAATATAATTAAAAAGCATAATCCATTATTTTGTTTGATGGCCATCTGCTTTGAGTCGCATTACTTGAATGAAATGGTTATGAAGAAACAAGTTTTTGATACAGATCCTATGCATTCGTTCTGTTGGTGGACAACAAAGTTCTGTTGAAATGATGACTTTCAGTTGGTTGCAGTGCGCATCAATTGTGTTCACAGGAAATTTCTCTCTCTAGATATGGGCTCCTACAATGGTTTCAATCCAGTTTCTTTAGTCATTTCTAAGTTACTGAATAGTTTCAATCATTATTGTGTTAATGTTTTCCAGGATGATGTTTTCTTCTCTGTATTTAGTTTCTTTTTGTGGTTGTTCTCTAATGCTTTATGGCCTGTTTGATTACGCATGAAATTCCCCCCCCCCCCAATTGTGTCCATTTTGGGGCATGTAAATTAAGAGCTAGAAGACACTGTATGCAAAAAAAAAATTGAAAAATAATATTATGCGTTATGGTGTTTGTTCTGAATGAAGCACAAACAACATTATGTAATCTTATAATATATTATGGCGTTTGTTCCAAATGAAGAATAGACGTCATAATTCCAAATCCTGCTCCCATGTTTTTTGATAATCAATTTTAATGTATTATGGCGTCTGATCTAAATGAAGAACAAACGCCATAATTCCAACGTCCAGCTAGTAGCTAACATTTGAATGTTCTGCATTTTATTCTCTGATTGTACTCATTCGTTCACAGGTCATCTGATTTTATTCTCTATTAGCTGCTGAGTGTAGCTTTGTGCTTCTTCGTGTTTCTTGCTCCATCTTCTTCCTGCTGCTTCTGCATTTTAGTGAGTTCTCTTCCTGCTTCTTCTATAGTCTTGTCTTGGCCTCTTGTTGCAGCTTCCATAGATTGTCTCTCTTCATGGTGCTTCTTGCAGCTAGTTTCTTGCATTCCAGCTGGTGGCTTCGTGCTTTTCTTATATTGTTTCTCTCCAGTTTCTTGCCATTCTTCCATTCCAGCTGGTACGTGTTTCATTTCAATCTGTTGAATGCTTTTCTCTTGTTCCATTCCAGTTAGTATCCATTTAAATATGTTGATTTCTCTTCTCATTTCATTCTTTCCGTGTTCAATGCTATTCTTGTGTGCCATTCCAGCTAGCTAGCATCTATTTTATATAATTTTAATGGACACATTTCAATCTATTGCTCTTCCCCAAAGCATTAGATTTTTAAAGTTTGTTCCTTTCAATTTTACTATGATGAGGACTATGATCATAGTGACCTGTTGGTTTATTTATTTATTTTTTTAATTCATAGGAGATCCATTTCATTTTATTATATACAAAAATCAAATAGTATTGCATGGGCTAAGCTAATTTCTTTTTGAAAACTTTAAAGCATTTGTTAAAATTTTTTATTCCATCTAGTTTGTGAAAAACCTATAGCTGTCATTTGTTGAGCAATATCATTGGGATTTGCTGAAATAGCTATTTGATTAGGAACCAGCAAGGAGAAAAAGAGGGTTTAATCCCTAGGGAATTGTTTTTAATAAGCTGTTATGTGCTGGTTTTTCTTAAACCTCAAAACATATAATGATATGTTGATATTTAAATTTGAATTAGGTAATAATTGATCTTAGTTGGATAGATGCTTTGCAGATGAATCATGAATATGAGTATGGAATAGAATTGTTTTTAGAATTTGCAAATGACAATGTTCCCAATAATAATGAATTGTTCAATTTTTTTTTTTTTACAATAATTTTTGTTACCATATATATCTTGGTTTGTAGGAGGAACATGGAGAATCTATCTAGTCATGACACCAAAAATACGAAATCTAGAAGAGGTAGAAAAGGTGCTACACAGCTTACTAAATTGGTCCAAATACGTGGAGGCAAGAAGATCCACATTGATTTAGATGAGAGAGGGGAGCCAATTGATAGGGGAAAAGGAAACTTGTTTAAGAGTTTTGTTGGACTTACTGCGCGTCAAAAGATCAGCATTTTGGAAAATGAGTGGGATGATGTGAAAGAAAGTGATAGAGATGAAGTTTGGAATACTATACTGGTACCTCTCATTAGATGTCTTATTTACTTTTTATTTACTGTCGTATTAAAATGTAAGTGTTTGTTAATTTTATTATTGGCGTGTTATTTTGTAGTTTACATATGACATACCTGACAATAAATTTCTGAAGAAAAAGTGGCTCTCGTATGCTGGAGGCATGGAAGGACTTCAAGTCAAAACTTACAAGAAAGTACGTGTTTTCACAGGATAAAGACAAAGAAAAGGATGATGGTGGCGGTAAAAATAACTCGGTGAAGTATCCATTTATTGATTATGGTACATGGACGAAGTTTGTTGAGATTAGACAACATGCTGATTTTTTGGTAAGCGGAATATGACTATGATATCAAAATAATAATTTTTAAAATTTTATTTATATCAAATATTTTTCATTGTTTGCTTAAAAGGAAAAAAGTCAAAAAGGTAAACAACGCCGAAAGAAAAACCAATGCAATCATACTCTTTCTCGGGGAGGATATGCATTACTTTATAATGTATGAAGAGAAGTGAAAAGTTAAAAGAAAGAAGCAGGAGTTGATGATATTAATGCAGTTTTTCTCCTCCATCTCCTATTAATCGTGCTTCAAGCATGGAAGAGAGCACGAATGAATAAGAAAAGGGGAGTTTGTTACTAAGGAAGCTAGAGAAGTAGCAGTGAAAATTGTAAGTAACTGCATTTGTCTTTAATAACATTCTTGATTATGTATCTTTAGTAACTGCATTTGTCACTTGCATGTTGTAGGATTCTCTAGTAAAAGAAGCTGCTCAGGGTACCTTTGTTACCTACAATTAGGAAGGATATATTAACCACAACATTGGGAACAGAAGAGCACCCTGGCCGTGTTAGAGGGGTGCAAAGAGGTGTGGGTATTAGAGAATACTTTGGACCACCACAGCCCCCTTTTAGCCGTAGATCAGAAGGTGCATCACTGGAACATGTGCAAATGATGATAAAGGAAGCAATAAAGAAAGTCGAGTCAGAGGCAGAGTCACGGGTAAAAGAGTTAGAGCAGAAGATTATGGAAATGCAGGCAACGATCAAGGGGTTCACTTCGATGCAAATGCACAAGTCTCTCGCAGAACAACCTCCCATTGCGGTGTTCCTGAGCCAACAGAGCAATTGAATGAATCTTTGGGTTCAAATTCCCAGCAAGCAAATTAGCCTGATGCCCAACCAATGTGAGATTGCTTGAAACAATTGGCTTTAGTGGCTGTTGACTTGAATGAAATAACTGGATTGGATTTGAGCAGAGATTGTGGGGCAATCTTTTACTTTAAGCATTGCCAAGATTGATCTCATTGTTCTCCATTGGTTGGACTTATTAATAGTTCAATTTTTTAATTTTGTAAGTATTTATTTTTATTTCTAGGGTTAAAGTGTAAATCTGTTGGTACAAAATTCTACAAGAACCTACTAGTATTTATGAATTCTGAAAAATAGTGTAAAGCTTCCAATTTGCTATATCAGTGGCCAAACGTCTATTAAGGATTGTGGTTGTACCTACTATGCCATGTGCAAATAGGTTAGGGAAAAATATTCGTAATGTAATATATTATGGTTTTAATTTTATCTTGAAATCGTACAAAAAAATCTTTAATATATAACTAAGGCAGATGTTATCAGACATTGACAGTATAATATTTGGAGTTTTTATAAATTATGGATATTGATATTTTATTGATTTATAAATTATTGATGATTTATTGTTTTTATTATATATATTATATATTAATAGAAAAGCATGGAGGACGTTTTTTTTCCCTTTTCCAAATGTATCAATGATTTATGGGTGAAACAACAAAATAATAGCTGCTGTCGGTTTTTATTTTATAATATGTTTGGATATTGATTTTATACATACAATTTAACTATCATTCCTTAATTATTCATATGCTAATTTAATGAAAAGTATTTTAAAAATAAATTTCTTCGAATTTTTAAAAGTAACATTTTTAATTAATTTTAATTTTTCAATCAAAATTTCAGTTTGTCAGGAAATAAAATTATAAGAGCCTATCTGATTTTTTTTATTTAAAAACTATTTCTTATTTTAAAAATAAAAAAATAAAAAATTGTTAGGATAAATATTTTGAATTTAAACGTTTTCAATATTATAAATTTTTTTATTTTTTTTATTTTTAAAGCACGCTCCATTTTGTTATTATCAATTATCTTTGACTATATATTCAGCTATGTAGACCATCATTATTAATCATGGCAATTGGCAAAGCAGCAAACACTGCTACCGTTTGTTTGTTTATTTTCAAATAAATCTCCCTTCAATTTTAAATAATTATATAAAATTTTTTTATCTTTAAAATTTGAAATTAACCTTTTTAATTTTTTTATATCATATATTTTTCTATTATTATTATTTTTACACTACTAATAAAAAAACACGTAGTAATTTATATGACATTTAATGTAAACTAATAATAATAATAATAACAAATTTATACAAAATTTGATAAATCTATTATCATTTTCACATAAGTTGTTATGTGTTTTTTTTAATATAACATGTCTACTTGAGACATAAAAAAACATAAAAATATTAAAAATATTAATTTTAAACTTTTAAAAATAATAAAGACTTTGTATTTACATCTCAAAATTTAAAAGAGTTTTGTATTCTCCTATTTGTAATAAAAAAAATAAAAGAGTTTTGTTTACTTCAATCATTCCAAAATTATTTTCAACTTAATATAATTAATAAATTTTCATTTTTGTATTAAAAATAATTTTTAAAAATTGTTTTACAAATTAATTTTTTTAAAAAAGAAAAAAGACAAAACAATTTTTAGTACGGGATTGCGGATGACATGATTCGGTCTACTCCATAACGGCTCAACGAAATTGAGAGGGAAGGATCCGAGTCAATTAACCGACGTCTACCTCTCCAGAACTCTCTAGCGGCTCCTATTTCATGTTCTGAAGATCTTTTCTTCGTAGTCCTCTCTTCTACTTCCCTCTCGAATTTTCCAAACCCTTCTTTTCTTTGTATATATCTCTCCCTCCGTGTCTCTCTTAACCATCAAAACCGAGTGTGAGAATCTTCTGTATCGAAATTATCCGTGTCCTACTAATTCCGTTTCTTTCTGATTCTTCTTCATTCATCTGAAATCACAAATCCTATAATTCTTTCTCGATTTCTTGCATCAATGGCTTCCAAGACTGAGGGCAGGGCTGTTGGCATCGACCTTGGAACCACCTACAGCTGTGTGGGTGTTTGGCAGAACGATCGCGTCGAGATTATAGCTAATGATCAAGGTAACAGAACCACTCCTTCTTACGTTGCTTTCACTGATACAGAGCGTCTCATTGGAGATGCTGCCAAGAACCAAGTTGCGATGAATCCTCAGAACACCGTTTTTGATGCCAAGCGACTGATCGGCCGACGATTCTCCGATCCTTCTGTTCAAAGCGACATGAAGCACTGGCCGTTCAAAGTTATCCCAGGTCCTGGCGACAAGCCTATGATCGTGGTTCAATATAAAGGAGAGGAGAAACAGTTCGCGGCCGAGGAGATTTCTTCCATGGTGCTGACGAAAATGAAGGAAGTCGCGGAGGCATATTTGGGTCAAACTGTGAAGAACGCTGTGGTAACTGTGCCGGCTTATTTCAATGATTCTCAGAGACAGGCCACCAAAGACGCTGGTGCCATCGCTGGGCTTAATGTGATGAGAATCATCAACGAGCCAACGGCAGCTGCCATTGCTTATGGTTTGGACAAGAAGGCTTCGAGGTCTGGAGAACAGAACGTGCTTATCTTCGACCTTGGAGGAGGTACATTTGATGTGTCGCTGCTCACAATTGAAGAGGGAATCTTCGAAGTGAAGGCCACAGCCGGAGATACTCACTTGGGAGGTGAAGATTTTGATAATAGGCTCGTCAGTCACTTCGTGCAAGAGTTCAAGAGGAAGCACAAGAAGGATATCAGCACCAATGCAAGAGCTTTGAGAAGATTGAGGACTGCATGTGAGAGGGCAAAGAGGACTCTGTCTTCGACAGCGCAGACGACAATTGAGATTGATTCCCTTTACGAAGGTATTGACTTCTACTCTACAATTACCAGGGCGAGATTTGAGGAATTGAACATGGACTTGTTCAGAAAATGCATGGAACCTGTGGAGAAATGCCTTAGGGACTCGAAGATTGACAAGAGTAGAGTTCATGAGGTTGTTCTTGTTGGTGGGTCTACGAGGATTCCCAAAGTGCAGCAGCTTCTTCAGGATTTCTTCAATGGCAAAGAGCTGTGCAAGAGCATAAACCCAGATGAAGCTGTGGCCTATGGAGCCGCCGTGCAAGCCGCAATTCTGACTGGTGAAGGAAACCAGAAGGTCCAAGACTTGCTTCTGCTTGATGTTACTCCTCTCAGCCTCGGCCTTGAAACTGCAGGAGGTGTGATGACAGTGCTGATTCCGAGAAACACGACAATTCCCACAAAGAAGGAGCAGATTTTCTCTACATACTCTGACAATCAGCCTGGAGTGCTGATCCAGGTTTACGAAGGTGAGAGGGCAAGGACCAAGGACAACAACTTGCTTGGAAAATTTGAGCTCACAGGGATCCCTCCAGCACCAAGAGGCGTTCCACAAATCAATGTGTGCTTCGACATTGATGCGAACGGCATATTGAATGTTTCAGCCGAGGATAAAACAGCAGGAGTGAAGAACAAGATCACAATCACAAATGACAAAGGAAGATTGAGCAAAGAAGAGATTGAGAGGATGGTGCAGGAGGCAGAGCAGTATAAGGCACAAGATGAGGAAGTGAAGAAGAAGGTAGAGGCCAAGAACTCTCTTGAGAACTACGCCTACAACATGAGGAACACAGTGAAGGACGAGAAATTTGCTGGGAAATTGGATCCTTCAGATAAGCAGAAGATTGAGAAGGCCATTGACGAAACAATTGAGTGGCTTGACAGGAACCAACTAGCAGAAGTGGAAGAGTTTGAGGACAAATTGAAGGAATTGGAAGGCTTGTGCAACCCAATTATTGGTAAGATGTATCAGGGTACTGGTGGCGATGTGCCCATGGACGGTGGCGCTAGCATGCCTGGTGGTGGCTACAGCAAATCATCCTCTGGTGATGCAGGTGCAGGGCCCAAGATTGAAGAAGTTGATTAAACGTCCAAGGGAAGATTCCGCTTTCTCTCTGATAAATCAGCCCTTGCATTTTAAACATGTAATGTCTAGTTTTTAGGGTATGTTGCATCGTGTTCTGGAAGGGCATTGAAGATTGTGTGATGTGAATCTTGTAGTTTTTATGTTTGTATGAGAGAGTGAATAAACTGCGTAGATTTCTTTTCTTTTCTTTTGTTTTCTTGGGGATTCTGACGGGGAAATTTTCCTTGTGGTTGACATGTAATTTTTTTGAAGCCAAACGTTAAGCATCAGCATTGGCTGTATATTGGCTAGTATTCTTTACAGGACACAAAAATCTGGACTTGCAGTAGGTATATCAAGTTTTGTGGTTTAAATGTTCAAATGAAATCTGTTCTCAGTATTTTTTCTCCCTGAAAAATCAGTTTTCGTATGTGAAACTTACATTTCTTTTGCCTTGTCTTTTGCTTGAGCATGTTGTGTCAAGTTCTGAGAGGTCACTGAAGAGTAAGTGCATCAGATGTCAACTCTACCTGTAATTTAGTTTTGGCATGTGAAAGTGAAAATTGGAGCAGACAAGCACTAATTATTCCTTATGGTGGCTGACTGCTTTTTGAAGGCAATGTAGCTATTTAGCTCGCGTTTAGCAGTTACCGTGGGCTAATATTAACCTATAAGACAAAATTCTCTACTCGCAATTGGGGTTTTGGAGCTTCTGGATTTCCTTTCAATGTTAATAACTGAGTATTGATAAAGAAACCAACCAAACATGTCTGTTTGGTTTGAAATAATGGTGGTTATGAGAATAGATTGTAGAACATTTTCATGACAAGGAATGCTCTAAATTTCTTCTAGCAAAAATTTTCTTTAAGACAACAAAAGTCTCAGACTTGCATTCGGCCTATCATGTTTCTCAGTGTCAATAACTAAGGGAGCAATGGTAATAACACTGTATCATCACATGAATTGTTGCCGTTTTCCCTCATGGTATGTTAAAAGGACAAGGAGTAGCATTGTGCGTGATTTTTCATTACTTCCAATTTCAATCTTGCACCAAAGGGGAAGATTAGTTTGAAAATATTAATTAATATTTAATTTGTAGAATACATAAATTATTATAGCCATATGACCCATCTATTTATCTGTATATTCACCATCACGTCTTTAATAGAATTGCATGTATTTTAGATGGAAAATTATTACTTAAAGGGTTGGTTTTGGAATTTACATGGAATTCAAAGATGAAACTATAGTACACATTTTGTATACATAATTTCTCTTCTTTTGTTTTTTTTTTTTTTTTGCCCCTTGGTGATGTGAAACTAAATCTTTTCCTTTTTGAACTTTCTTTCTTTGTTTTTTTTTTGAGGATACAAGGCCACAAACAAAAATTCATGCAAAAAGATAGCTAATTAGATCATGTCATACTACAAAAGGTCCGTACATGCAGGCAGAGGAATATCAAAAGTCTTAGTATCTTAACTATCATCATATGGTGAGTAAGTTAATTAATGTATTGATTCGTTTTTCTATATATATAATTGAAAGTGACCGCTTAGTTTTTCATTGTGATATCTTTAAAATTTTCTAAGACAATGGAGAGTAGAGACTTTTGAAAGAATTCATGTCGGATGAGAATGAGTACTTTAAAAGAATTTAAGTAAATGTTAATTTAAGTGAGCTTGCTATTTCATCTAAGGTAGATACTTTTTTAGAATTATAGGTTCAGCTATGGTGTACGGGTGATAACCAAGGTACTTTGGTAAAGCTGTTTATTCAATTTTCTTAACCATTTTGAATGAGTCCAGAAATAGAGTTATAATTATTGATAGATTTGTTGACATCAAGCCTGACCAAAGTCAAACTAAAAGTCCGACTATGACAAGCTGAAAGCTCGATTAATAACAACGGGCCAATGTGCTGAGTAAAAGAGGATTCAATTTTTGTCCACCAATACAACCGTGGGCTTTTTCTTACATTCTATAGACTTGCGAATTTCTAGCCCGAAATTATTTGTCAATCTTCATTCATTTGGTTTTTTGTTTGATTAGGTCCGAACATGTGTTTTTTTTCCCGCGTCAGTGCACTTCATTTTCTTTTTAATAATGAAAATTTGGATGAGTTCCACTCAGAAAATTTAGAGTTGAGTTTTTGCGATAAGAATAGAATAAGTATCATAACTTGAAAAATTTATAGAGTTAATATCAATAATGAGATTTGAACTGTGCTTTAATGTTGGGTAAAAAAATATTTTCTTTTTATTGGAAACAAACATTTTAAATATATAGAGTTAACTATATAAGCTTTTTTATTTTATTATTTAATTTAATTACAATTTAAAGATGTACATACAATTACGTTATCTTTTTTTTATATTTTTAATTAATTTTTATAATAGAATATTAATATTTTTAAAATAAAAATCAATATTCTTAAAATCACATTTCAAAAAATTAATTTTTACTAGTTTGTTATGTTATTTTTATGATATAATTGATCTCTAAGAGGTCTTAAATCAGGGGGGGAAAACCGGTTTATTGGGTTTTTAAAATAGAGCTTGAAATGAAATTTAATAGTTCAAAAAGGTCTAGCTAAATCTAAGTATGTCTGGTTCAACTTTCAAGAAGTGAAAATTGAAATTGATCCAAACCAATTAGGAGAATTGAAAAACCAAGTCATGCCCCCCCCCCCCAAAAAAAAAAAATAATAAGAGAAGAAAGAAAAACCAGGTCAAGCCTTAGGTTTTTCAAGCCTTAGTCGAAGTCAACTTTTGATAGATGTTTGCAGGGTCAGTATTGGTTTTTAATAAATTGATTTTGATCGGCTGGCCAAAAAAAAAATAATTTGGATCAATTTTGAACTCATTTACTCCTTTATCTTAGATAGTAGAACCCATAATATTAAAAACGGACCGGACCGGCCTAGGTTTATTGATGACCTGGTCTCTTGTTCGGTCTGGGTTTACTCTTAACCCGGTGAGGGAGTGAATTGGTGTAACCCGGTCAACTCAGTATAACCCGGATAACCCGGTGGGTTGACGGGTTAACTGGGTTATTATTTTTTCAGACTTTTACCCCAAAACGACGTTGTTTTTTTATTTTTAATTTTTCAGAGCTTTGAGTTCAGAAATAAGATAACAAAAAAAGTGAAATTGAAATTAAAAAATGAAAAATTAGAGGCAGAGCATGCTAAGTTCAAAAATATAATATTTTATTATTGTTAGACTTTGAGTGGTTAGATTTGGTTGAATGTTTTTATAATTAATGTTTTTTTATTTAAATTATATTATTTTAATTATGATCGGTTTGCCACCGGTTCAACCTCGATTGAACCACTAACCCGTGATCCAGTGTCATGACTGATTTAATAATCAGTTCGGTTTTACATACCTTGGTAGAACCTGATATTCCACTGAGAGGGTGCTTGGTTTACTGTTCAAAAGAATTGAATAAGCTTATTTTGGAGACTCAATTCTTGAATTCAAATCCTGAGACGTACAGTTATATTAAATAAATATATTAAAAATATTTCTGGCATATTTGTGAGCCGTTGCTGTTAACTTGAGTAAGAGGTGATAATAACATAAATTTTTCAAGAGATGAAATAAAAAAAATTATATAAAAAATTGCATGTTAAAAATTTTAAATTTAAATTATTAAAATTAGTTTTCTAGGAAATACATCGGTGCATTATAATGAACTAGACACTAGTTAAGTATGATGATCGTGCGTGAGCAAAAGATCCCACCAAGTTATTGATATACACTTGGAAATATTGGCCAACAATATTCCTATCTTTTTGGTTGTAACTCTTCTGACTCTTCTATTCATATTTTAGGTGACTATCAAGAAGTTAAAGAGGTTTGGACAAAATTAGTTAAGCATACTAAAATTAACACATTTTCTCACTTAATGTGCAGGATTGGATAGTCTGGAATGCAAAAGTTAAAGCAGGTAGCTTAAATACAAGAAGAATGCCATGGCAGAAATTTTTTGCTCAAGCTTGTTGAAATATCTAGAAGAATAGATGCAAGAAGTTATACTTCGAAGATGATATTGCAGACAATGACATTGCCTTCTCTAGCACCCAACAAATTAATAATGACTTAAGGCTTTGTGCAAAACCTTCCGCTCGAATAGGAATGATACTGCTAGTGAAGTCAAATGGAGCCCACCAGAACATGATTGGGTTAGACTCGACACTGACGGCTCAGTCAACATCAATGGAGTTGCAGCTTGTGGTGACATCATCAGATATGACAAAGGAAATTGGATTAAAGGATTCTCCAAATTCCTTGAATATCAACCAAGCACTTCAGCTGAATTTATAGAATTTTTGAAGGTCTCAACCTTTACTGGAATATGAAATTAAATAAAGTCAATGTCCACACGAACTCGATAGAAGCTTTATCAATCATTAACAGCACGTGTTCTGAAAATCACCCATTATCTAGTGTTATCAAAAAGATGAAGGAACTCACTATGAGAAATTGGGTTGTTACCTTTGACATGTCTATAGAGAAGTCAATAGATGTGTGGACCTCTTGGCCCACCGATCGACACACGACACTTTTGAAGCTACCATTTTTGATGTTCCTCTAATTGACTGTATCAACCTCATCGTTTTAAATACGATTAGATTATAGTTTCCTGTATGGTTTTGCCGTGGCCTTGTAGTCACAAAAAAAAAAAAAAAAAAAGATCCCACCAAGTTAGGTGTTTTCTAGAAGCTTCAGAATGTTGCAGAGAATTTTCAGACGCAAACATCAATTTAGTCTCGGAGGGAGGTCCGCTAATTTTAGAACTTTTTTATGTTTCAAACGCATAGTTTTTCTTTAAATATAATAAATATAAATATCTTAAATCTTACACTTTTTATGCCATATTGTAATTGTTAATCTATATCTATATAACGTGAACAGTGAATGAAGTGAACTTTCCAAAATGCCCCCAATTTTCCTTTTTTTTAAAAAAAAAATCTTCTGCCATTTTAACACTGTCAGATCCGACTTTTTATTTTTTATTTTTAAATTAAATTCTCGAATTAATTTTATAAGTTTAACATTTTCATGTTTTTAATTTATAAAATTGTGTCAATTTATTTATAAATTTAGACTCAATACAAACTCAGTTAAACTCATGAGTTTACCTTTGAGTTTATTATTTTTACGTTTCTAACTTATAAAATCATGTCAACTAATTCATAAACTCAGGTTAAAATTGATTAAACTTGTTAAGCTCGTTAATTTTTTTTAGTTGAACGAATTAAATATATACTATAAAAAATTAGTTCATAAAAAGTTATAAGATTTGGTTTAAAGAAAAAAAATTGAAATACAAAAATAATATTAATAAAAAATAAAACCAAAAACACCAAAAATAAGGTTCTCT